ATTTACCTATTCATCACCCATAATATTGTTACCTACGGGTTTACAAATTTAATGAAAAATTTTTTTTGTCACTATAAAAATATGCCGTAGATTATATATGTTTGTGAAGCCGGAGAATGGTACCGCTGAAAAGACACTTGCGATTAAGTGCACGAGTCTTCCCTTACATGACATAGTGAGAATTTTTGAGTTATTTTGGACGTGACCTTTATGATACATCTGTGGTGTACACCAAACTGAATTCCAGTTAGTTAGTTAGTTAACCAGCTGTTGAATATTATTTAATGAAGAGGATGGATAACTCTTAGAAAACAGAAATACATTCATAAGGAAGTGCGATGCCTATTTCTATCACAGAACTGACATTCTCTTATATTTGCCTGTCTGTCTGTCTGTTTTCGACATAGAACTTTACACACATGTTCAGCAGTTCAAGTCGCCGCACTCCATGTAGCACACAGAGCAAGAAAAGAAACTAAAAGAAATGCATAACAGAGACAGTAAACAGAGGTGTGAGACAAAGGAATAGTAATAACGAAGAACAGTATAGTTTCATTGGAAATCACAAGTCACAGGGAGTGGATGCATCTGCGCCATTGAGAACGATTTTCAGCCATATCACCAATTGTTTCCAGCCTTCAATGCTTTTTACCGTCCCAAGGACCCCAACCAGTCAGGAAGTCTACATCTTCCTACGTGGCTAGCTGGCTTAAACTAACTGTTGACTGATGAAACGATGTTTTGGTTTGACCACCGCTGGCTGTTTTCCAGCCTGACCTTATGTTGGGTAACATTGCCCGTCTGTCGAGGAAGGCGACAACTAGACATACGTAACACATATCCTAATCATATCAATAGATGCAGCTGCTTCACAGCCTCGTCTATTGATTTCCCCTCCTTACCCAACACTTGACCGAAGCCTAACCTCAATATTGCCCACTCTATTATACCACCACGTGACACGGAAGATAGAACGCAGGCACTTATGATCAAAGACAGCTAATCTTTTCATGTCTTCCACTCCCAATGGCCAGGTCCCACAGCCATAAAGGAGGACGGATCGGACTGGTGAGCAGTACTCGCCCCCTTTGGTCGATAGCCAGCCGGATATCACGTCTACGCCAGAGACGGCGTAAGCTGGCATTTGCGCAACTAGCCCTCCGTATCCGCGCTGAGATTTCGTCAGAGATCACCCCGTTGGGGATGATGCAACTTCCCAGATAAGTGAAGCGGTCAACGTGCTCTACCACTTCACCCCCTATTTCAAAACTAGGAGTCACTGTTGATATCCCATTCAGGGAAGTGTTGGATGTTTAGCGGGTTGAGCCTGTCTTTAGGCCAATTAAACTGCTCCTCAGCGTTCCAGTCGTCTATCCTGGGAGCTAATTATGGTGCGACTTTTCTCAGAGATTGTTTCATTTATCATTTGCCTTTTACCACCTGTTTCCCTGATAAGTCTAAATAGTTGTCTGGTGTTGCCACTACATTTATTACGACGAAGACTAGAAGTTGGTATTAGACATTTAGAGGCTATCGGCAGGAAGACCTGAGGACCTAGGTTTCGTGCTAGTTGGAACTCATCAGTTAGCAAGGCGTATATCTGCAACCGTGAAGGAACTCATGTCCCAACTGAGATTCAAACCCATGTCACCCAGTGCTGCAGTCAGAGATGTTACCACCTAGAGCTATTCCGGCTCATGATTCACCTCCAACTAGCACTTAACTTAGGTCCTCAAGATTTCCTACCAATCGCCTTCAACCACCTAATATCAACAATTCAAAGTGTACCCTACCTGATGACGAGCCACCTAGAATGGTGGCCACACTACAAACTTGACTGATGACAGAACTCAGCCGGCAGCAAACAAGGACTAGACACAATACACTAGTGTCCAACCAAAGAAATATTTTTGGATGTAAGTCAAATTTTCTTTACTCACGGAGTCACCTATAAAAGACTATACAATCGTATTCATATTTGCCAAGTAGTCTGTTGAGTAATGGGGCTGCGTGACACAACTGATCCAATTACTCAGAAGTGGTTTTTAAAGATAAAGACAAATTACGTAATAGTGGGCGACACGATGGAAGTAAGGGTTTGAAATTCGATAAAGTGAAGGTTGTCACTAGATGAGAAGGAATGTGATTGAGTGTCCAGGTAATTAGCGTGAAAAAGGCGAGAGAAAAATCTAGTAAAACGCACAAAAAATATATGTAACAGTGATAGAAGTGAATTAAATTACTGAAACTAAAATCGCATGAAAAGGTAGAGTTTAAGAGACTTTTTCAGTACACAGAATTTGGCATTATATTGACGTGTCAAGACCTAACACCTTTTGCATTAATCAGTCTTACCTCGGAGATAATTTTCAAAGTCTGATGGAAATGCGTGACTTCACTCCACCAGGTGCCCGAGTAATTGTCTTGTTAGGTGAACAACACTCAACCAATTTGCTTCTCATCCACTTACAATTCTCAACTTATCGAACTTCAAACCTTTACTCCCACTGCGTTGTTGATTGCTAAGTAAGTTTCTTATATTCAGATACCCCTTCTACGTAAATGCATCAATTATTTATTTATTTAAACGCATAAAAACTTGGTACAATACGGCACCAAGAAGGATGCGCCACACAACAATAATAAAACAATATAGATCAAAAGAAAAAATAAAGAAAAGAAAAAATATAAATAAGTAGAGAACGGATAAAGAACTTCATCTGGAAGGAAAACATTCATGTTTAACAAGTTCAAACAGAATTCGTTAACTATCATCGGGGACAGAATAAAGAAGGAAGTTGCAACACGTTCGCCATTGATTACGATTCTTGGCCATATCCGATAACGTTTCGAGTTATCTCTCGAACCCCAACCAGGGAGTCGTGACACAGAAAACGATGCTAATCCAGCACAAACATCCTTCATCCCACGATGTCACGTCATGGACTGACCACCTCTCCGCCCTCTCCATCCCTCCCAGGGCTGGATAGCGAACAGAGACCTGCAAGGAAGCCTCTGGGATGACATTCGCAGCACATGTCCAAGCCACCGGAGCCGGTGTTTCCAGATGACCACACTCAATGAATGGTGATCTCCACTGTGTTCAAACACACGCCGCCGAACCTCAGAATCACTCACGCGATGATGCCATCGAACGCAAGCAATCCTGTGGAGACAACGATGATCAAACACACAGAGTCGCCGCACATCCTCGGCTCGGATAGGCCAGGTTTCACAGGCGTAGAGCAGGGCGACCCGCACCGAAGCATTGTATACTCGACCTTTTACAGCCAGGCTAACATCGCGACGGCGCCATAGGTGGCTCAAGTTGATGTACGCCACCCTAGCCTTCATTATACGGTTGGAAATCTCATCAGTCACCCCTCCGCCAGCAATCACACAACTACCCAGGTACACAAACTTAGCAACAACTTCAACCGGTTCACCCGCAAGACTGCAGATACAGGCTCCTGCCAATCTTGTAACAGTACTTTGCACTTAGACAGCGCAAAGCACATACCATCCTTACAGACACTGATCGCCAACTGATTAAGTGCGATTCGGGCAGCCTGCATGCTATCGCACAGTAAGACGATTTCGTCTGCATACTCGAGGTGGAAAAATCTATCTCCAGATGTATCAATTACGTCACGCAACCACTTACCTTTTTGGTAAATATAACTGTACAGTCTTTGGAGGCGATATCGTGGAAACAGAAAAGTTTCTCCGTTCAACTGCCTCCAATTTTCTTCATGAATTAATGGGAATTTATGAATGTGAAAAGCACTAATTGCAAACCTTTAAACTGTTTCAATGAGGATTATTTTTATAATTCATAAAACTGATTCCTTTAAGAACAAATAACTTTCGCTCTCTTCACAACTTCATAGCCAAGAAACAGTTATTGAAAACAGAAGACAAGAAATGAGCACAAGTAGCTCCTTTCAACCGATAAGGTGGGACAACTTGATAAGCGATGTTCAAACTAAACAAGGTGTCAGTCAATGAGACTAAGTTAGTTTAGAAGTGCGATGCGCACAACGAGCAACCAACTTCCTGAGCTAGCACAATGTTAGGTGATGTAAGAAAGGGTTTGAAAGTAATTCTAAATGGTCAGAATGAAACATAAAAACAATCCATTACAGTCAATGACAATTGGCCTCAAACATATGGATATGGGTTGACTGTCCAGTAGTTGTCCTCGGGATGTTTGTTATTATCAAAGGCAGTAAGCTCTGGTTGATACACTACACGGAAAAATTACCTCGATCCACTTGTTGTCTCTTCATGGTGCCAACAATATGCACCCTGCAGTTTTGCTATTTAACTACAAATGTGTTCAAAAAGCCTCTCATGTTGTAAAACCATATGGTGACAAGTGTTTAGGTAGCATCAAAAACGGAAAATTAGCCAATGAGGTTCTACAATTAGGTACTTCAAGACATTTGGAGTATGTTGTGTACACTGAAACCCAATTTGATCAAGAAGCAGCACCAAGTTAGCTCCGATAAAAAGGTTCACCGAGAAAAACACTATTTATATCACTAGAACACTAACACAGATGACTAAAAGCAGTTACCATATAGTGCAAGTTGCTCACACACACGATCTTGGGGGTCTGTAGGCGAAGCTTTATTGCTGGTGAATAGGGATACGATGGTAACAGACGACCACCAAGTCAATTATGCTGTTTCTTAGATCTGAGAAAGGGGGTTACAAAAGGTCGTCCCCGTAAAATAGCACATCCCTGCTTACCTTGCAGCGGTAAAACCTTAATACGAACACAACTTCAAAGGCCAACACAAACAGGTCATGCGTCACTGGGTTTTGGGGTCAAGCAACACCGACCATGTACATGGTCCGGGTTTTGATCCCCTGCCGACGCACACCCGGTATCATTGATCGGCCTGCAAAATTGGGCTACCGGTATCACATGCTGAAAATTCCATACTTGTACAAAAAAATACAAAAAATACAGCTATAATAAAAAAAACGTAACTCTAATAGAAGATATCCTCCTTTTATTAAACTAATCAGTTTTCAGAGATGATTAAATATATATCACATCAGAGTAAATTAGTAGTAAATTACTACCATACACAGTTGTAGTAGTAGTAATAATAATAACAGCCAAAGGCAATATGAAAAGTTTAAAAGGGTGCTGCTAGTAATGCGCACACAGATACAAAAAGGAGAATTATGCTTTGAAATAGACAGAACATCATGTGTCTTCTGAGTTAAATAAGATCTTTTTTCTAACTGCACAACGTTGTGTTATTGTTTTATTTATCGGCACCCAACTGGATCATTTTCTTCTTAGGATCGTCGTATATTTCAGTAGGTTGAACCGAGGCCAGCATAACAAGACCATAGGTTAAAATAGACACCAAAAGGATAGAAACAATTAACGAAGACCAAACACCGATACTGAAGTATCCAACACAATCGGTCACATCACCGAATACACCATTCTTAGCACTAAATGGTTCGATCTAAAAAAAAAGAAGAAAATTTAAGAAAACCGTCAAATAGATGTCAATTTTAATCAAATAGACAATCTGTTCTTATTCTTTTGTTACTCAACAACTAGTTGGAATAACCATACATTTGGCAGTGAGTCAAACCTGTTGTGTGAGAGCTAATGGTACTACTTGCCTGCTCAGACATCAACAGATGGAGAGGATCTGGAATTCGCGAACCAATGGCTGGAAGTCGAGCGCTACTGACAGAATCCAGTCTGCATCAAACCAAGAACTACATGCATGACAACGAATTTTATCTAGTGACTAATCAAAGTATCCACCTGGCCAATTGCAAACCCGAACAGTTCAGTGGTAGCGTCCATGACTGCTGCACTGGATGACACAAGTTTGAGTCCTCCTTCAGGACTGCAAATAAGCCTTGCTGACTACTGAGTGCCAACAAGCACGAAACCTAGGTCCAGAGCTTCTTGTCAAATCCTTTCAAACACGTAATAGCAATGAATTAACTATATGCACGGGAAGGTATACATGTAACACACTTTCATATACGTTAAGTTCCCTAAATAACATTTGTGACGAGACTGACAATATGGTGTGATTATAATGGTAGGTAAATTTAGAATTCAGTCAGTGTGCTTAGCTGTGATAAATGACTGTTTACTCTACTCTGCTGTTCGATTTTCCATCGTTGTGTGCTTCTTCTTATCGTGTATGTACACAAAACGAATCATTTTTCGGAATGGAAATTTCAGACTTCAGTCCTCTCCGTGCTGTTTACTGTAGTTCATTGGTAGATGGATAATGAGGATTACAATTATAAATACGTTACATTGGCTTTAACAGGAATGACTGGCTGCTTTCAGCACAGGACTTTGCACAGATGTACAGTAGTTCGAGTTGCCACTCCCCCTTCATGTAGCACACAAAGCAAGAGAAGAGACTAAGTAAGGAGAGATAATAAACGGTAGTGTAAATGAGGCAAAAAGAATAGTAATATGGAAGAACAACAGAACTTTATTGGATATTGTAAATCACAAAGATTGAATGCATCTGCGTAGTCATTGAGAACGATTTTGAGCCATATCACCAATTGTCTCCAGCCGTCATTGGTTTTTACTATCCCGAGGACCCCAATCAGACAGCAGTGGCTTAAACTACCTGTTATGGATTTCATTGACTAATGCCATTTTTTCGTTTGACCACCACTACCTCTTTTCCAACTTAACCCTATGTCAGCTAACATTCCCCATCGAGGAAGGCGATAGATGGTTAGTCATGCATAAAGTATGTTCTAACCATCTCAATCGGTATAACTAAACAACCTCGTCGACTGATTTCACCTCCTTACCTAGCACTCGAGGCCTAACCTCAATACTGACCACATTATCTCACTTAACACGGAAGATAGAAGGCAGATACATAGCCTTTTTGCATCTTCCCCTTTCAGTTGCCATGTCTCACAGCCATACAGAAGGACAAAGAGGAATGCTGAGCAGTACACACGACCTTTGATCGATAACCAGCCAGATATCACGTCTACGCCACAGGGAGAGAGAGGATTTGCCAAACGAGCCTTCTGTAACTGTGCTGAGGTTTCGTCAGTGACCAGCGCGTTGGGGCTGATGCAACTCCCCAAATAGGTGAAGTGTTTAACACACTCCACTACTTCATTTCCTATCTTAAAGCTAGGAGTGAGTTAATGTGGTCCAGTCCCGAAGCATCGTCTTGACATTTGACGGGAGCGAATCGCAAGCCATTCATTTGAAGATCGCTTCTCGTCATGGTGTTCAGGAGACTTTGTATTTTGTCAGTGTCTTCACTTAGGTGGGAGGACTATACCATCTGTATATTCTAAGTCAACGAGATTATTCCCTGGTAACAATTCAATCCCTGAATGGCTGAAGTCAGGTAGGGTTAAGTCCATTAGGACATACATGATGATATTAAACAGAAATGGGAACAGTGAGCAATCCTGGCTTTAACAACAGTTAAATATTACAAGTAATATTAATGTGTTAAGAAGTCTGACATAACCAGAGACGTTTAGACAGAATCAATCAGCTAAGCCTGGAGATCCATTACAACGCTATTCCACATACATCTTGAGCAATCAAAAATGTCTCAGACTAAAAATTATGTCTGAAAGAGCTTCATGGAGGTTAGACATCTAAGACTGTAAGTCATTTTGTTTGTTATCCGTAGAGACAGGCTTAGTTAAGTTTCTAGCAAACCAAGCGAAACATTTACGTAGTGTGTCAGAAAATCGAATTGATGAAATGAAACGGAAGCATTGGTGCTGAATCACTATTTCATAAAATTCAGTATGAAGTTGAGTAAATCTGACAACGGAATAAAAAGTAGTAATGAAACTATTCGTCATAATATAAATAAGAGGAGAAATTCAGGGCATCTACAGTTTTATGACAAAATGAATGGGACATCTGAAACACTACACAGGATTCTAATTAAAGTCAGAATTACGATGAAATTTAAGCCTACAAATTTACTGAGGGACAGGCTATGTAGGCTAAAGGACCCGTCTGATCCTCATAGACAGGATATTTTGATTAACAGATTACCTTGCAATGACTTTCAGGCTAACTACATAAGTCAAACGAATAGATCGAGGCAAGTGAGGTTATCGGAATGTGGGAATTTAGCTGGATCTAGAATGATTGGCTCAGTTGAATTAAATAGTCCAGAAAAACGCCCCGCTATTGCAATGCATTCACCTCACAGTTCTGTTTATTATTTTGCTTTTAACCCCTCTCTTTACTTTTTCCTCTTGCTTTGTGTGCTACATGAAAAGTGGCAACTCCAATGATGCACATTTACGAAAAGTTGTGTTGAAACCACTCTCATGTAATCACACAATAGGGCGGAACAGAGATACAATTCCACAAGGTAATATCTGTCTGTCTGTTTTCGACACAGAACTTTACACACATGTGAAGCAGTTCAAGTCGCCACACTCCATGTAGCACACAGAGCAAGAAAAGAAACTAAAAGAAATGCATAACAGAGACATTAAACAGAGGTGTGAGACAAAGGAATAGTAATAACGAAGAACAGTATAGTTTCATTGGAAATCACAAGCCATAAGGAGTGAATGCATCTAGGCCGTTGAGAACGATTTTGAGCCATATCACCAATTGTTTCCAGCCTTCAATGGTTTTTACCGTCCCAATGACCCCAACCAGGAAGTCTACACTTTTCTAAGTGGCTGGCTTAAACTTTTGTGGATTTCTGATAGCTCTCCACTTCCTCTCCACTCTGCGTCCACTAAAAACGATGGAAGCCAAAAAACCACCACCGACAGCCTCTTAAAGCCGCGCCACCAATTTCATATAGGAGCTCTTAATGTTAGGACACTTTGCCAAATAGGACAACAAGCATCACTAGCCAAGACCCTGGCATCACGAGCCATTGATGTATGCTGTGTTTCAGAAACACGCATACAAGACCCAAGTGTGGTTATTCACCTAACCCCACCTGGCCAACAGGTTGAATCTGCAAAATTCACCCTGAGGGTGTCAGGAGATGCCACAGCTAGTTCACGAGGATTAGCTGGCGTAGGGATAGCTTTGAGTACTAGGGCAGAAAAGACATTGCTTGACTGGATCCCGGTAGATAGCCGAATGTGTGCTGTCCGCCTGAACGGATCAGTAAGAAGGAGGAAGGACTGCACTACTCGCCGATGCCTTTTCGTAATCTCCGCCTACGCCCCCACTGACTGCAGTTCAGATGAAACGAAGGATGAGTTCTACCAAAAGCTGTCTAGTTTGGTGGAAAGGCTAAACGCTCAGACATAGTCGTTCTAGCTGGTGACTTTAACGCTCAAGTAGGGAAATTGTGTCAATCTGAGAAGGATGTCGGTGGCACCTATGGAGCTCCGTGCCAGCGAACCGACAACGGTGACCGTCTCCTACAGTTCTGCTCTGATAATCATTTGTTTCTTGTAAGCACTAACTTTAAACACAAGGAGAGACACTGTTTGACTTGGAGACCCCCTTCATCAAACCAACGCTGGACACAAATAGACCACATAGCAATAAGCTATCGTTGGCGTGGGTCGGTAGGAGATTGTCGCTCCTTCTGGAACACGTGCGTAGATACCGACCATGCACTGGTCCGCGCTCGGGTGTGCTTACGACTGAACGGACGTAGGAAACAGCTGGCGGTAAAACCATCACGTCCCCAGCTCGATCAGGAAACTAAATCCGTATTTGAGGAAGAACTAGCTAAACACATATCTGTGTTCGACAGCTGTGCTCACCCTGAAGAAGCTTGGAAAAATATCCAGGCAGCCATAGATACAGCTGTAAAAGCTGTGAATAAGGTAAACCCAAAGGTGAGTAAAAACCACTGGATCTCCACCGCCTCATCCGAACTGATAGATGCTAGAAGACTTATTCCGGCGAGCTCCGAATTCAATGAGGAGCGAAAGCTGCACAAGAGGAAACTTACGAAAAGTCTCCGCAAGGACCGTGAACAGTGGTGGGCGACAAAAGCCAAAGAGATGGAGAAAGCTTTGAGGATAGGCAACACCAGGCAACTCTTTGGACTCATCAGGGAAACGGGTGGGAGAAGACAAATCATCAGTGAGACAATCTCGGAAAAAAATGGCACTATAATTAGCTCACAGGATAGACGACTGGATCGTTGGAAAGAGCATTATGAGGAGCAGTTTAATTTGCCCACAGCCACGCTCAACCTTCCGAGCATCCAACACCTCCCTGAATGGGATATAGACACAGGTCCTCCGTCACTAACTGAGGTTACTAAAGCTGTCACCAATCTGAAACTAGGCAAAGCAGCGGGACCTGATGGAATGACTCCAGAGGTATTTAAGTACGGTGGAGACAGCTTACTGTCCGGATTAACTGAGGTACTAGGCAGCGTCTGGGAATCAGAAGAAGTCCCATCGGGTTGGTGTAAGTCACTGATTATCCCCATATACAAGAAGGGAGACAAGTCTTCCTGTGATAATCACAGAGGGATTAGCTTGACTAATATAGTATCTAAAGTCTTAGGCTCAATAATCATGCGTAGACTGAGTGGTGCTCGGGAAGCACAAACACGAGAGAGCCAGGCAGGCTTTAGACCAGGAAGAGGGTGTATTGATCATATCTTCACCCTCCGACAGATTCTAGAACATAGGCATTCCTACCGGCGTCCAACAGTCATTATATTTCTTGACCTAAAGGCAGCATTCGACTCTGTCGATCGGGAAGTTCTCTGGAGATGCTTGGCTGTAAAGGGAATTCCAAGAAAATATATTGCACTGATTAAGGCACTCTACTCGTACTCATACAGCCAGGTGAGGGCTTACGGCGAGCTGTCATCTGAACTGATGACGACCAGTGGTGTCCGTCAAGGATGCCCATTATCTCCTTTTCTATTCAACTTCATCATAGATGTGTTAATGGACTTAACCCTAGGTGACTTCAGCGACTCAGGGATTGACTTGCTACCGGGAATAATCTCGTTGACTTGGAATATGCAGACGATATAGTCCTTCTAGGCGAAGACGCTGACGAAATGCAGAGTCTTCTAAACACCTTGAGCCGCAATCTACGAATGTTTGGCATGCGATTCGCTCCCGCCAAATGCAAGATGATGTTACAGGACTGGACTACATCGACGCCTAGTTTAAAAATAGGAAGTGAAGTGGTAGAGCACGTTGACCGCTTCACTTATTTGGGAAGTACCATCAGCCCCAACGGGTTGATCTCTGACGAAATCTCAGCACGAATACAAGGGGCTCGTTTCGCATTTGTTAGTTTACGCCGACTCTGGCGTAGACGAGATGTTCGACTATCGACCAAAGGGCGGGTGTACTGCTCATCAGTCCGCTCCGTCCTCCTTTATGGTTGTGAGACCTGGCCACTGAGAGTGGAAGACATGAAAAGACTAGCTGTCTTTGATCATAGGTGCCTGCGTTCTATTTCCCGTGTAAAGTGGCATAATAAGGTGAGCAACATGGAGGTTAGGCGTAGAGTTCTAGGTAAACAGGGGAAATCAATCGACGAAGTCGTGAAGCTACAAAGACTGAGATGGTTAGGACATGTGTTACGTATGCCAAGCCATCGCCTCCCTCGACGAGCAATGTTAGCGGATATAGGGTCAGGCTGGAAAAAAGCTAGCGGCGGTCAAACAAAAACTTGGCATCAGTCAATGAAATCCACAACAGTTGGTCTAAGCCACGTAGGAAGGTGTAGACTTCCAGGCTGGGGTCCTCGGGACGGTAAAAATCTATGGTTGGAAACAATTGGTGACATGGCTCAAAATCGTTCTCAGTGGCGCAGATGCATCCACTCCCTGTGACTTATGATCTTCAATGAAACTGTTTTGTATTTCTTTATTACTCCTTTGTCTCACACCTCTGCTCACTGTTTCTATTATGCTTTTCTTGTACTTTCTTCTCTTGCTTCGCGTGCTACACGGAATGTGGCGACTTGAACTTCCGCACATTTGTGCAAAGTTCTATGTCGAAAACAGACAGACAGACAGATTGTGGATTTCATTGACTGATGAAGCTATGTTTTGGTTTGACCACCGCTGGCTATTTTCCAACCTGTCAGCTAACATTGCCCACCGTCGAGGAAGGCGATGACTAGGCATCCGTAACACATGTCCTAACCATCTAAGTCGATGTAATTTCACAGCCTCGTCGATTGATTTCCTCTCCTTACCTACCACATTACGCCTAACCTCGATATTGCTCACCTTATTATACCTCTTCACACAGGAGATCAAAGACAACTAATCTTTTCATGTCTTCCACTTTCAATGATCAGGTCTCGCAGCAATAAAGAAGGATAGAGCGAACTGCTGAGCAGTACACTAGCCCTTTGGTCGAAGGCCGGAAATCACACAAGGTAATACAGGTAAATGGAGAGAAACATTGGTCACCGAATATTTGTTCATCGAATTTACACCTGCAGTATGAATGACGTGAAGGTAATACCAGATACACGGAATTATTACTACCAATAAACAATATACCACCGTTTCAGCCACAATATAATTCCAGCTAAACTTCCATATCAGATGTCCTAATGTATCGACATCTACGATATGGAAAGCATTCATCACCAAGCACTGTTCATCCTAACGTCACTCGTCCAAACATTTCTTATACAGATTAACGGAGTGTTACAGTATATGAAGAATATGAAATAGCAGAAACACTCGAACGAAAGGTACCAAACCTTTTTGTTAATTCAGTAATTCAATAAACATTTAAGTCGTTCACAATAAAAAGAACGACTCAACAGCTTTGAAAATCAACTTCGACTAAGTGGAAAGCTACCGTGAATATTTTTGCGCCAGGTAACCTGAATATTAGAACTCAGTTACTTTGTGAGAGGTCCACAAATGGAAATGGAGTGCTTAATCCAACTAGTAACTTCTTCACACCACAAAGAATTCTGTAATACTTCGAAAACATATATGAATAACTCCTACAACATTAATTACTGTATGAATTAGACCCAGTGTGTATTCCATAATTACAGCTACTTCTGCATATCAGTTAAGCATTGCTTAAATTGCACGTTAACTTTATGGAAAGATATGCGTAATGTATCGTATTTAACATATAATGCATGGTTTTTTACTGTAACAAAAGCATTATGCGGGCAACCTGATTCACGGCCAGTTAAATAAGCGTGTGCAATGTTCCCAAGTCACATCGTCTTTACTTACTTTTCTATTAATAACAAGTGACACTACAGACAAAGGTATACTTACAGAAAAAAGCAAGGGTACCTTATGACTGGCTGAGTTTTAAATGTAAAGCTTTGTACAGAAGCGCAGCAGTGTTGGCTAGCACGCTCCATGTAGCCCACAAAGGGAGACAGAAGCAAGAAAAAAGACAAAGCTTGTTATGGAAGGAGATGATTCAACACTAGAAACACGTGCCTTAGTCATCTCAATCGACGCAGCTTTACAACCTCAACCAAAGACTTACCCTCCTTATCTGATACTCAGGGTTTAACCTCACTAATACTCAGTATACAACTTAACAAGAGATAGGAGGCAAATACCTACGGTGAGGGACACACGTCTAACACAACACACAAGTACGTCTCATCTATAAGGAAGGACGGAGTATAGCTTTGCAGCACACATTCTTTGGTCGTCATTCGGTTACCACGTATACACGAGAGATAATGTAATCTAGCAAGTGCTACAACAGTCTCTTGTATTTGCGGTGACATTTCAACAATTGCTACATGAGGGATGATGTAACTTCTCAAATAAGTTATAAACACACCTAACCACTTCACTCCTTATCTTTAAACTATGAGTGACACAAGGCCAGTCGTATAACATCACCATACATTTGATAGGAGTGGGTACCACACGAAACATAAAGATTTCTGCCTAAGGTGATAAGTTCCTTCACTTAAGAGGACAATACCATCAGCATACACCAAGTTGACAAGACTTTCCCCCGGTGACAAGGCAATCCTGAAGTCGCTTACGTCGATTGAGGTCACATGTATTAGTACATCCATGAAATTAAACAAAAATGAAGACGTTGGGTATCCCTGATGGACATTACTCGTTATCACTGCAGGTGACTCATCCCCACAAGCTATTACGCGGCTGTGACTTTGAGTAATGCTTTGATTGTTCAGACATACTTTCTCGGCTGGGCCATGCATTAACTCTACACAACCGAGTCAAGTGACACCTCGAGGTCAAGAAATGCAGCAAGTGTACGTCAGTAAGTATGCTTACTTTCAAGTACCTGTCAAAGATAAGAATGCTTTCAGAGTAACGCCAACACTTACAATCGAATAACAGTTTCAAAGCTAACAACCCAGAATGGACTGCACACATTCACAGTTACGAAATCCTAAGTACCTAACACTACTGAACTGCAGCATGAATTCGCAGAAGACTCTACTTTGAGCTCTGATATATCACAGCCAAAGAAATAATGAATCTTTAACTCCCACGAAACCTAGGGAGTCATTTCTCTTTTCAGGATTACAGATAAGTTGAATAATCATACGAACATTACTAACCTGAACACTGCTGAATTGGATAGATACCGACTTGCCACTGTTCAACTTAGCCATAATAGATGCAACAGGAGGTTTAGTGCATTTGTAACCAAGACCGAGTGGAGCTTCAGCCCATCCCATAGCTACAGGACTATCGGGTAGATTAAAACACGAATCCGATTCTGCTTTGCATGTGATGTTTGCGGAAGATCCAGATACACCCCAATAACGACCTGACTTTGTAAACTGCAAACTGAATACCGTTTAGCAATAGTAGCAACTGTATTTACCTCATACTAAGAGATGTGATTTCACCTGTGCTAGCCGTGAAAGCCAGTACTGACTCCGCATCTGAGCATTTACTTTGTGTCGAGAGTTTTATTGAACTTGCTGGTATCGGTACAACAGTTACTTTTGTACCAACTTGGAACTTGATAGAAATTGAACGAGCGAAAAATGCCAAACAGCCAGACACATTGAAATACGTGTAGTTACTGCTATGAAGGCTGTTAGGAAAGTATGTGTTTCTCTTACTCTTGAGCTGTGCACAAACCCAGAAGTGCGCCACATAACGCCAAGATTAGAACACTTTTATCGAGTATCATGAACCCGACTCAAACCAGGCGCTTCTAGTTTAAACAACAAGGTCAAGTGCCCGGATTGCAGATTACATCGTTTCATAAAGTTACTTTATAAAATATATAAGGCTGTAGTCATTCTATTTAGACTTTGTTTATTCAACATGGAGATAAGATACCCGATATTATACTAATAAACCGTGATAATCAACTTCTCTGTATTTGCTATTTGATAAAGATGATAACTTCTGAATCCTTAACAAACCTGTGCTTTGACTGAGGACTGATTGGCCAATACTGACCCGTCTACTGAAAATGCATGGACTGAATCCCAAAAAAATCTTCGAATAATTACATCTGAGTTCACTTCATTGACAATTCCTAGTGAAAAAAATTATATTCCATGAGTAAATCAACAAGTTAAGGAAAAGCTTATGTAATCTCTGTATTTCTGGACAGCTGTAGTATTTCTGTCAGAAATAACGTGAGATAGGGCATCACTTCGAGGAGCTGCTTCATCGGCCTAGAAATGCATTTAAATCACAAGTATGTTCCTGAATATTTTCCCAGTAAGTTAAAATAATAACTAGGAAAACTGGGCAGCTCCCCATTCTATTAGTTAGTTTCCGCTCGTTAAATATGGCTAATGATAATTTGACTAGGGCCAACACTTTATCGAATGATTATGCCAAGTCTTGTCTCATAATTATAGTTCAAGTTTAGCTGCTTTAGAGGCTGAGGGTGTTGACGTTCACAGATTTTACGAAGTATACTCACTCAGAATTGAATGTCCACAATTAGCATTCGTTCCGCGTAGACCAAAGGCGAAACAAGACACCAGAATTCAACGACCAAATTACGAATTATATTTCGGGACCAAATCGAAGTACGAGATGATCGCCTAACTAGCTAGGGATAGTTCACTAGCGAACGAACGTAACGCGATGGCGTGGCAAATGGCATGGATGCTTGACCGTTGGCCTATAGTGACCCATTTTATTACTCATCATTGTAGTATACTTTCACTATGTAATTGAACTTTGTTTTGCTTATCACCATAAGGACTGCGCGTTAAAAATTGATACTTTTGCACTCGCTCAACTTTTAAATTTTGACTACTGTGCTAATACATTATGATATACGGTGACTTGCTTAAATCTTGGGCTAACGAAATTCCATCGCACATATTGCATCTATTTCCTCGGATTTGTTTTGTTTTAATCGTTCAGTTATGTGTCCAAATCGCATTACTTACTCTCGCGATTATTTAAAATGTTTTCAACCTGATGATTTACGAGTATGTAACAACCTTAAGAAAAAGCATCATGGTGGCTGGCAAAGATCGGTAAAGTCCACTCCAATGCATCAGATGACTATCCCTGTGATTACGAGCACAAATTGCAGGTCATTATCGAACAAGATTATACTCAAATGTATATTGTAATGCTGGTGTAATAACTCTTCAAGAAACTTGGCTCCACGACTCATATGACGATAATTTAGTCTCCTTAAGTGGTCTCAAAATGTACAGACAAGACTGATGCAGCTCAGAAAAGAAGCCCAGCTAGCATTTTTTCGGGCGTATTGCAGACTTTTTGGGGCAAAAACTTCGGGTAGATCTACTTACGTGGGACAGTGTCCCAAAGTCTGCCCCAAAAAGTCTGCAATGCGCCCTAAGTCTGTCCCTAAAAGTCTGTGATGCGCCCGAACAAAATGCTAGCTGGGAGAGAGGTGGTGGTTTGCCAATTTTATCAATTCTCAGTGGTCTACTGCCAACAATGTCTGCTTCAAATTCTCATATGACAATATTGATTGTGTAACTGTAAAATGTCGACCTAAACACTTATCTAAGTATCGCTTCATTTCTGTCACAAATATCTATATCACACCTTGTTGCAGTCCCTCAGAACTATCTATCTTCGCTGATGAATTCACTATTTTTGCTGCTGCTTCGTTTGGTAACTCCTTATCTATAGTGACTGGCGGCTTCAACTCCAGCGACTGCAGTTTTATTACATTGCTGGGCCATGCAAATGTTGTTAATTTCCCAACTCGACAAAATACTTCACTTGATTTAGTATTTATAAATGATTCTGGAATATACGAAGCTCGTAAAAGAGCCCCACTGTTCAATTCTGATCATTGTATTGTACGAGTCTTACCCAAAATTTACGGAAAGCTACACAGTAAAGCCCTCTCAAACTTGTCTAAGAAAGTTGTTCACAGATGCTACTCAAATGAGAACGTACATCATCTTAGAAACATGCTCAGTGACACAAAATGGGATCTATTTAATGATAATTCACTCGATGACACTATCTCCAATATTACATCGTATCTGAATTTCTGTTTTGAAATCTGCTGTTCAACACTTCGTCAAATTTGACCGTTTCTCCTCTCCTCAACTTAAAAAGCTTCGTAGAGAGAAGGAAAAGCTATATAAAATGAAAGATAAAAGTGGTGCAAAAAGCACTAACCTCCTTATTAGGTCTGAAATGCAGAGGTTGTATGTAGTATATAACCAGAAATTCATATCCTGCAAAAATCCTTCTAATATGTGGAAACTATTTAAGGAAATCACTGGTGGTAAGCAGATAAACAATATTCCATATTCTTTTGACGGATGTACTCTTAACAAATCTTTTATTTACTCTCCCTCAAATGCCATGCTTCCCAGCATCACTTGTGTTAATAACAGCCCCTTTCCAGGTTTTAACACAAACGATGTTCAAAAGTGCCTCAAGTCTCTAAACCCTTCCCAGAGCTTAGGACCCGATTATGTACCTAGTATTATTTTTAAAAAATGTTCTGATATTCTGTGTCACCCTCTCACTGATCTATTTAACAAATCTTTTTTCGATAATATTGTCCCTGCCGTTTGGAAGGACATCAAAGTTGTACCCATACCTAAATCATCCACTGGAGCATGTGTCAAATTTAGACCCATTGCTATTACCTCTCCTTTTTTGAAAACTATGGAGAAATTACTTTTACTTAGTCTTGTACCTTCGCTTAAATCCTTTAATGACCCTAAACAATTCGCCTATAAGCACAGTAGAAGCACTTTAGACGCAGCTGCCGTCTTATATCATAGCATTGCTTCCAGTCTAGACAAGGGGGCTAATTTTGTCTGTTGTGCCTTCCTAGACTACACATCTGCTTTTGACTTGGTCTCTAGGGACATCTTATTAAATATACTTGCTGCTAGTCAGACAGAATGTTGGGCTGTTAACTGGTTACACTCCTACCTCACAGAAAGAAAGCAGTACACCGTATATAAAGGGAAGTCTTCCGCTTCATTGCCTACTGAAGTTGGTGTCCCTCGAGGCACTGTCCTTTCTCCTTTTCTTTTTTCTTTCTTCTTGCATGACCTGCCTCATTCTGATGAAATAAACTTTGTGAAGTACGCTGACGATTTAACAGTTTCAATGGCTGTTAACTCCCAGCTAGATTGTACTAAACTAAATAGCTTTCTGTCGGGAGTCAGTAAATGATCTGAGTCTAACGGTCTTAAACGGAATCCTTCTAAATGTCAAACTGTTAATTTCAGCTTAAGATGTAAAAGACAGTTAAAAGAAGTCATCGACCCTCATGACAATTGTAAGATTGACGACAATGACATAAGAATCAAATCAGAAATTAAGTATCTTGGACTTATTCTCTCTTCTGATCTCTCCTGGACTTCATATGTCTCAGCGATCTCCAGCGAAATATTCCGTCTGACATTTTACATTAAGAAGTTAAAGCACTTGGGTATAACTCAAGCCCACCTCCTCTTACAGTTCATAAACTCTTGCATCCTACCTATTCTTCTTTATTGTTCACCCTTATTCTTTCCTGGTTTGCTTAAAAAGGACTGTCACAATTCGTAGAATACTGAAGACTGTCAGTAGGGTGAGTGGTGTCACAGTGAACCACATAGTTAACATCGCTGTCGATAGGCACTTGATTTCGTGCAATAAATCAACCAAAGGGATTTGTCTGACTTGGAGCACCCGTTTACCCTCAGCTTTCACCTTGCGTATCCTCAGGTAGAGCAAAAAGTAACCTCAGAAAACTGTATGCTCGCACGTCTAAGTATAGAATTTCTATGATACCATGCTTGGCGGGTATTTTATGCGATGAAAAATGTCAGGCAAGAATTAACTAACCTTTTTTCATCTAGTAAATAAACAATTTCCTCCATCCATCCTTATATGCCTTCAAGTTTTACTTTTATTATTTCTATTACATTTATGGTCCTGTTGCTTCTTTGTTTTTTATACTCTCATAATTGCAAGCACCAACTTATCTCTATGGCTGCTGTAACCTTTGTTTTTCCCTTCACCATATCATGTAAAGAGAACATTATATTCAACATTTTTAAGCAAGTTAGGACTTCTATCCAGCATATAACAATACTGTGTGAAACAAGCCCACAGTAATTTTCACTTGTATTATTATTATTACCCTAGCTGTTATCATTATTATTATTATTTCCATTTTATATGCTGCATGTTTTTGACACTACCTCTATTGTAAATGTGAAAAACTTTCTGTGTGATTAGTTTTTATTTATAATTTGAGGAAATTAGATGCAATAATGTGATTAATGCTGAAAATTCCATTCTGTATCACAAGTACTGTTTTCGGAATATAGTAAGTCATTACTATTATTACTATATTCGAGAGGACGTAGTAGGATGTGCGTCAGTTTAGCTGAAGATTGAACGATCAATTCATGGTTGTTTGCTCAAACCCAACTTCCCTACATTTTCTTGAAGGCATCAATACACCAGTCATCGTCTCATCGGGTGTGAGGATATAGGCTATAACCAGGTGTTTCCGCGCAATTTGTGGGTTACCGCGCTCACGGCTACAGGCGTTGTAATCGCCTATTTTTTGAAAATAGATTATATTTGACTAGTTTTAGACTTCTGTAGCCAGAAGGCAGTATTTTCCTGTATTTTGTTCCTAGTAAAAAGTAAAATTGTATTTTATAGCCTGGACAAATTATTAATAAAAAAGCCATCCCTTTCAAGGAAGTTCGCGTAGAAGAACTATTATCTGCATTATAGTGCATTGAAGGTTTGTATTTTTGCGAGTTAT